ACTTATTGAGACCCTACCTCAAATAAAAAGAAAACAGCTGGAGGTATAGCTTAGTGCAGACTATAGGTTTGACCTCCAGTACCTCAAAAAGTTCTATTAGAGTTTTTATAGAATGTGACAACTTGATTCTAAAACATTTATGAGAAACCTAAATTAAAAATGGCTAAGACACTCCAGTAAAGACAGACAAGGAGATTTGTCCTACATTCAACGAGATTTATTATAAAGCTATAAATTATATACTGCTACATATACAGCTGTATATTATAAAGCTAATAATTAGCTATCAAAATATATCAGTAAAATGGTGTTATATTGACAGAGAAGTAGACAGCTGACTGACCAAATACAGTAGCAGCAAAGTACAGAAACAGGCACGTTTTTAAAAATTTATTTTATTTTATTTTGAAGAGTAAAAACAAAAGCAAAAACAAATACAAAGACAAAAAGGGAGTAACATACAACAATAGATGTGTTACAGATTTTCGAAAGAAGTATAGCAAATTAGCTCGGCTGTGCCCCAAACCTGGGGCATACTGAGACTGTGCTTAAGATTGGGCATGGTGGTATATGCCTGTAATCCCAGCTCTTAGGAGGTTGAAAACAGAATCACTACAAGTCCAACCTACATAGTGAGAACCTACAGACCCTATAGACCCTGTGCCAAATGCACACACACCCCAAAACAAAGCAAATTAACAATGGTTGTGATATTACCTATTTTTATTGTCAAATCTGTTGCTCACTTTAGCAGTTATACAAGATTAGACAAATAATTGAATCTTAATGCTTGCTTTCAATAAACCTTAATTTTTTCTTGTCTTTGTTTACTTTTTAAAAAATTTAAAGAGTAGGGCCAGCCAAATAGCTCAGTGGATTAAAGTGCCTGCTTAGGCAGAAGCAGGGGCTGGGAGTTCGATCCCTGGGGCCTGCTGTGCCAGCCTCGCCCCTGGGGTGCACTGAGGGGACAATTGAGACTAGGTATGGTGGCACATGCCTGTAATCCCAGCATTACAGGAGGATTACTACAAGTCCAATCTATGCAGTGAGACCCTGTACACCCTGTCCTAAATACAAAAAAATAAAATAAAAATTTAAAGAGTAATATATAAGTAAGACTCCCCTCACATTTCTCTACCATGACACAGTCTTCTTAGTTCCTTCCCTGTACCTCTCATAGTCTGCCGCTCACTTGCACACTGACTACTTTCCACTCTCTGCAGTGGATATGGAACTGGATGCTATAGGCTGTCTTCCCCAGACAAGCCAGCATAAGGTGGTGTTCAGCAAATATCTAATGAATAGATTAAAA